CGTGCTGCATACTGCCTTCGGGTGTTTTCACTTACGTCACGTTTGCACGTGACCCATTTCTGTAGGATCGATGTTATTGTGTGAAAACATGTGTATGTGGGTAGGGCATATTCAAGGTTGGAAAATTGAATAACGCAACTCGATTAACATTACTCCAATAAAAGCTAAGAGCCTTGGATTCATGTTACGTAACCGCGGCTTGAGCGACAAAAGTGGGCCAAAGATGTGTTCCGTTGACATGAAATGTTTTGCGGTTGATGGCCCTGGATTTCTCTTGTAAAATTAACCTTTGAGATTTTGTTGCGTCACTGAGGGTAATAACCACTTGGGAATGTGTTCGAACATTCACTGTGACTCGGGCCGATTGATTCTGTCGATGTCACCACAACTGCAGGTGAACTGATAAATAACCTGTGTGGCAGAATTGATCGGCTGGCTCCGTTTTCGGTTTATCAGACAAATCCCATGGGTGGACGGTATCAGTCGAAGCTGTGCGATAGGAAATGTTTGTCAGGCTGCAGCCTTGGAATTGGGACGCAGGTCGTTCATTGCATGTTCACCATTGAATTCCAGTCTGAGGAAGACGCATTTCTTCGGTACTTTGCAGACGGGATCAATCTGCGGCCTTCGTCTTCTATGCACTTAACCTTTAGCGAAGCGATGTTAATCAAGCTACGTAATCCAATTTTATGTGCATAGAAATTTCTGGCTCAGTCAGTGAAATCACCATGGCACTGATTCTGAAGCCCCTTATCCTAACTGTTATACTTTTAACCTTCTCGTATAACTATCAGATTGTTTTACGTTGTGGTAACTGAGGAGAATGAAAGAAATAGTAATGTCTTGCATTATTAGTTTTTTCTCCATTCAAAAGTACTTTTATAAAGGGGACCCAATGTTTAAAGATGCTTTTTCTCTTCATTCTCACAGTGGAAGTTTCAAATGAATGGTAGGATTTTTAAAACATTAATATGAAAAGGGATAGTAGAGCAGATCAAAGATAGCAGATCACCCTGCTCTGAGTTACTTGATCACTTTGATTTTATTTACGTTAAAATAATTCCACTATGCTGGGACTCACTCGTTCTCGACTGGAATTGTTCGTGTACTGTGTGATTGTTTGTTTTTGTCCACATGAAACGGCACTCTCCTTCAAGCGGCACGGATGATAACTAAAAGTCTCAATAACAGCACACAGTAACAAATCTATCCGATTATGTAACCTAACTGGACGTGGTCAGATCACTTAATTAACTTTCCGTATCCCCACGAGTTGACGCGCACTAACTCATACCTCATCCACTCGTACATCATCCGATCAGATAGATCTCTCATGAGTTGACGAGATGTCGCCAGAAGACAGAAGAGTCTACTGCCATCCTCACAAATCGTGCCTAGTTGGCTGTTGTAATAATCAAACAGTCAGAATGAGCGAACAGTATGAGTATATTAATATGTCGTCTGGTACACTGTGACTCTAATAATCACAAAAAACACGTATAATTGTTGTCACAACGGTTGATATCGATTAGATGCGTTCAGATCGGACAACGTAGCTGTGAATATGCAAACGACAGTCAAACTTATGATCAGTCGTATGCGATCTTATATTAATTAGTGTGGGCGTGGAATTCACAACAAAACATGGGAAGTGGGGAGGGGGGAAAGCGTTGGATAGAGCACACATGTTGCCCGGTTTACTGCCAAATCATTGCAAAGACAAGCAAATAGTCATAACTGCACATAGGTTAGGCTCCGAAAACATTTCAACCACAAGTGTTAGTCTAACTTCTGTCGTCATCGGAAAACGGTTTAAAATGACATAATCAAAAGCAATTAATATATACTCTAATAAATAAATTTCTTATTTTTTTCAACATCATGAATGTTTTTAATTGTACTCAGTCACACACCTAGTAGACTGACCACTAAGAACAATCCCGAATTACCAGTCTCCACACTGGTACACGTTTTGCAAAGTAATATTGCGCTTATGTTATACAGTTTTGCATATTGATGTCCTAACCGTTATTTCAGAGCAAACAAGATTGTCCGTAGTTCTTGATCAGCTGGACAACAGCAGAAAAGTCTACCAGTCGAAAACTAACCTCGAACTGTGACTTAGAAAAACTTTATAAATCAGCCCAGCCATACCTCATCATATCTCGTGAAGTAGAAGACAACAGCGCTCTAGCGAATGAATGCAACATTGAAAAACACTGTTTGCCGATCAGAAACATAGCGTGATACCATTATCCACATGATCCCAGTTTTCCCCATGACTTCCCAATAGGGGCTTATGAACAATCTATTTCATCGGGGGAAAGAAGCAGCTGCATTCCAGATACACTACAAAAAGTGGAAATGAACTCCCAAGGGGAATATAGTTAAATAGGTGTAACACAGAAGGTTTCACAAACACTGGCTCAAAGCATTAACAAAAAGGCCACCTACATCAAGTGGACTTTCAAAGGTGATCATGTATCCCAAAGTTGAACTGAGCTTTATAGACTACGCGATTTCCGGGTATTACCTCTAGTGGCGGAATCAGTGTGAATGAATGCAGAGCTAGCTGGCAAGTTGGTTCTATGCTGCACATTGTGTAATAAGTGACTTGCTGTTGCATATATGGGCAGAACTAACGGTCAGCTATCACAACAGATCGCCGAACATATTTGGTATTGATGAAACATGAAACCGTGAAAAATTCCTTCCTAACTGGAGGATGTCTTGAAACAAACCACTGCTAAATGCTCAGAAAGAGATCTTTTATTCTTTCTCCCTTTCTCTAACTGTGCACCATTTTGCATTAGGCAGATTCACTGAATAAGTTAATCTTTCAAGTTTAGCGGTTATAGCAATTTATATCATTCCGAACTTTTTAATAGTCCTTTTAATGTGGCTCACTTTTGCTGGTTCCCATTTGTCACTCACATAGGCCGTGAAAGTCTTTCCAAAAGTTAACTATCCGCGCATCAAGAGATGGTGAAATTCTAACATAAATGCCATTCGCCATAAGAAGTACACAATATGCCTTGGGAGTGGGACAGTTTTGCTCACCCTAGAGCGGAGGAACCACTGGAATCAAGCTTCAGTCGGTGTATTCCCAATAGTGTTAAGTGATCATGTGACCATGGAACAGAAACTCACCCTCCCAGAAGCAAGGTGTCAGCGACCATACATACACATACTCAAATAAAACAGCAAAGTTACTGTGCAAAATCTAGTCCAGAATTGTCATCACCTAAATGCCCCCCTCTCCCGGGTAACAGTTGCGATCTGCATCAATTTTGGTTAACTCCGATAGCTGTTGGATCTATTGTCCACTCGGTTGTCAGGCCTTGGATTCTTTTCTCCGTATTTGTGCTTGACGCATAATTCAGTTTGCGTAAATTACCTCCCAGGCGCTGTGTGGATTACCACAAATACCTAAAATAACCATATGGACAGTCGGCCGGATTCCAATCATCGGAAACGCGTTGCGACACTTACATGTCAGTCTTATAATAAAATATCACCAAAAAGATAAAAGGTTTGTTTCGTTTTATCGATAACACAAAGTGTGTGGGAAATATTGGTCCTCATGACAGTCGGAGAGGAAATGTGGTGATATTCATGCGTCATTCTTTCCGAAAATGTTAGCTATGGACTTGGATGGGTGACCAGCCAAACTGTATTAGTTGGCTTTTCATGGTGTTTAAGAGATTGATGTTTCAGACGTTTCTTGTTTCAAAGTATTTCCATTCCTTCGAAGTCAGCTAACACTGGTTCTCATCGAGTAACCGAAAACCTTATGTTTACTTATTTAGAAATGTGTGAATGTAATAAGTGTGGATTGCGTGAACCGTATGAGCATTCAGGAATTTGTTTATATTTCTACAGTATTTTTCGACCAGATACAATAGTGCATCAAATAAAAGAAAGGGTTACACTACCTATCATGTTTAATTGGCTACGATATCCCGGAGGCCTCGGGTTCTGATTCATCTATGGCGTTTTTGAGTGGCGGTACCTACCACGAAAGTTGGATCTAATCTGGGTGCGTTTCATGTCACAGACAGTGTATAAAACAATTGAATTGCCACAACCGTTGAGTAGTTATAGGCTTTACGGGAAGTTACTTCCTACACACTTAGGTGAAATGTCCTGAGTGAGGTTTATCGTTCGTTCTGCACAAACTAAGCAAGATGGTAACGTAACTTGGAACATAATCTTTTTACGTAACTTACGCAAGGCTCCACACTCGAAAAGCTGTTACACCGAGTGGAATAGATCAATAGTCATCATTCAGTCTTGCACACATTGAACGAACTAACTCACGTGCAAACAGGTTTGTTAGCTTTATCAATCGTAATTCAAACTTGAAAAACATTCGCAGTTAGGAATAAAAATAGCGACATGCCAAATTCATTGGCCATATATGGAAAAACTACACAAACACTACTTTTTCCAAGCAATGAGAAATATAATCATCAACAACTTCGTAGCAAACAGGTTCCACCAGCTGCTGTTCTAACCAGATAGAAATTAATTGTTGAACAAAAGACAATGCTGTAAAAGCTGTTGTTTGAATGCATCCTGGTCGATTATCCTGGTGTGATCTCGTCGCCAATTTTATCAAAACAAACGAAACCCTTTTCAACTACTACAATGTTTCGATGATTTCTGAATGAGAATAGATGATACTCATTGCAAAAGTAGCACTTATTGTTTAATACATGTTCAAACTGACCACATCGTGTTCTAGACAAATGAAGAATTCTCAGAATATTTCCTGTAATCTGTGACTAGTATTCTTCAGCTGTCACTGAAAGCTACTTCAAAAATGGAAAGAATACGTTGTTAAATCTACAATTATCAGTGTAATCACCCTTCCCCACCGACACCTACTTTCGTGCAATGAAAAGTCTGAAAGCATCCGAAAACGTTCACGTTGCTCGCTTAGTTGCATTTCACTGAGAAAAAGCTTTCTTGAACTAATGCGATGTGTGCTTGCTTACCTTGTAAATCATTGATCCAATCTTCGTATCCTCTGACAGTTGTACAGTGTACAAAGATTGTGAAAATACCGGCGATATATCATTGATATTCAACACATTGACCAGAATTTCCAGTTTGTCCTGGAACTCGGTTGGTTGTCCACTTTGAAACGGTTTACGACTTCGATCACCCAAACGTGGTGACCATGCGATCAGGTAGAAATGATAAGACTTGACATCCTCATAGTCCAGATCCCTTTGAAGCACAAGCATTAGACGGGAATCATTTCGAGCGACCAGATGGAACACTTCGAGCGCGTTGGTCCGATCGTCAGGAAATGATTCCAATCGATAGGCGATCTCCGCATGATCGGGCTGTACGTCCGCGTCGACTGCGCGGGGTAATTCGACCTGTTGTCCGACGCGATAGATCACTTCCTTCAGTTGAAGCACATAAGGTCGTGGAATTGTGGCTGGAAATCGAGGTGGATTGTCATCCACGTCAATTACGGTAACTTCCACGTGAACAAGCGCTACTAAACGTTGTTCGTACAAAATATTGACCATTTGTGTGAGTTGCGCTCTAGTGGCGCCATCTCTACAATACCGCGGGCATAGACTTTCCAGATCAATGGATTGTTTCGTGGACAAAATGCTTGTTCGTTCATCCAAATTGAAATGATTCGATGGGTCACGCAATTTGTATCGCAATGCCCCGTGAGTGGACGAGTGAAATAGGCTGAACAGTTCAGCCGAGCGAACTTCGGGTGTTTGGATCAGATCGTCGTCCAGTTTGCCGATGCGTAGATCTTCCGGTTGATTTTCGGTGATTGCGTAACGCAAGCGGTACTGAGCTGCAGCATTCACAATGAGATCCGCATGACCGTGAGGAAATAGGAAGCCGAGGGTAACAAACCAAGTCAATACCAGTGTGAACAAATAGCGCATGGTCGGGATGTTGATGTTATCACGTGGGTAGAGCACCTAAAGCAAAAAAATCAATTCAGAACATATTTTCAGTTCAAATATCATGGTAACATAAAACATATATAATCACCCAACAGTGAGGTTGTAGGCTGAAGTGGGGGGGCAGAAATTACAGTTATTATGTTTTCCTCACAAACGGTAGGAGGAAGTAAAGTGCCATGCCAACTACCGGTCCCTATTATCTCTGAATCAGCAGCATATAAGTACTAATGGAGCGATCTGATTCAAGCGGCCTACGAATTCTATTGTATTGCTTGTTTTAGAGAATTCCATCACTTGTTTATTGAATTTATTGCATAAAGTTTGCTTGTGAGTCCTTTTGAAATCTTTGAACTCGTCGACATATCTGCCTCTACTTACGAACAACAGGACGTTTATTCATATGCACGAAAGTGGTTGGATACGGACGGCGAGAGTTCAGTGACTTATACAAATCAAATATGAACTGAATTTCATCAACGAAAGCCCCGCAGGTCATGTGTGAAACTACCACTAACTCAAATGACACAATGCCATCCATTCGCGCCAGTGGGATTTCTGTTTGATGGGATGAAATCAAGCGGCTTCGGGTTACAACATATACTTGCACGTGAGAATTTTGAATTATTTTATAAAATTATTGTTTCGCCTGATAGGTAATGAATCAGCTATTTCAGCCACACAGATGAGAAGCATCAATCGTTCAATATTCTGCTCGTATTAATTGTGAAATCATCTTGATTCAAACAATACATTTATACACTGGGTACCGAATCATAAAAGGATATAAACTTCCGTATCTTAGCTAAGACTTCTATTAATTCAGTGTGGTACTACGCAGTCACCACACCGAGTATTACCTTGGATATTCTATTGCTCACTCTACCGCTCTATATCTTGGATGCTGAAGTAAAAAGCCTTTGAACTGCGCAACAAACCGGGATATTTTGACAGCTTGTTTCCTGCGAGTTGATAAGACGATGGATGCTGAATAAAATTACTCTGTTGCTTTAATTCAACATGATTTAAGTAAAGACAGCTAAACAGTTTGTAGAAAAAACATGGAGTAAACGTTGATGATCGTCTAATTTCCCCCACAGTGGTTATGATCGGGTTATTCAAAGCGGTTAGGGTAAACAACATGTTGGTAATACTTTAAGTTATTTCCGGAAGTAATAAAGTGCATTGGGATCTATAATCAAGAGATTCCTTTCTCTGCAGACAGAAACACGGGAAGGTCGGAATGAACGAGATGGTGCTGGTACGTAGAAATGATGAATAGTGTATTTTTTTGCTTACTGCGTCACTGGTAAATTTACTAAGGAGAAAATGTTTTCACCCGCAGCACCACAACTCCCTTCCTTGTCCCGAGGCAATATGCTGTCCGATGGACGTTCTGGAAATGACGATGAGTCTCAATATGGGGAATTGTGTTCCAGCTTGGCTACTCACATCCTCATCGAGGAAAATGGAAACGCTCCACTGCTAAGGTGCTTGCACATACACACAGGCAGACGACGTTTATACATAGCTCTGCATACGCATGGTCCTGTTTTCTATTTTGTGATAAGCAGCTGTTCTTCTCTCTTTCTGGGATGAATATATGTATATATTTGCATCTTAAGTCACTTGTAGGAGACACACATCGACAAACCTATTTGAATCATCAAGAAAATATTACTTTATTCAATGATTTGTATCGGCCGTTTTTATATGTATCCACCCGTTTTGTTTACTAAGTCGCGAATTAGTGCATGATAGATGTGCTAACCATGCGTACACAATGGATCACAGGTTATGGAATCTCGTAGATCACTCACCAGGGTCTGACAATCCAACATGAGCACCATAAATTCACTGAGAAAGCCTCAGACAGTGATATCTGACAGAATAGCCTGTGTTTATCACTTGATGTGTACAGTATCATCCACTCTGGGCAGAACCAAACAATTCCCGGAAACGGGTGGAGTCCCACTACCGTCACCACTACCACCAAAACAGCGGAGACATTAAATAAGATTGATAACGTTCTTTTTGTCAAACACATCCATTATGGTTTCGACAAAAATTGATCAAAGGGTGTATTGTATGGTTTCAGTGTGCAACAAAACAAAAGCAAATGAAAAATATCGGTAAATATTAGTCAAAGTGGCTGAGGAATTTACGAATGCCTCCCTTAAAGGGTGATATTCATCCATGGCCTGCTCAATCCGTCATGTCAGCAGCAGACGGACCCTCGATTGTTCATGCTGTCCACCAGGAGCACTTTTGGAAAGTGCAGAATGAAGCAGAAACCTTTTCCGGAATTCTTAAAAACTCACTTTGAGCAGTCAACGTTGAAACGGATACCAATCAGTCCCAGAAGCCATTAGCACTTCTAAATGCTTAAAACATCAAATAGGTTTAGACAGATAGATAGATAGATAGATAGATAGATAGATAGATAGATAGATAGATAGATAGATAGATTAGATAGATAGATAGATAGATAGATAGATAGATAGATAGATAGATAGATAAATAGACACGGATCCAATGAGAGATAGATAGAATGATAGATAGAAATATAAGTCGATAGATTGATAGATACGTAGATAGATAGATAGATAGATAGATAGATAGATAGATAGATAGACACCGACAGATCGCTATATAGATAGATAGATAGATAGATAGATAGATAGATAGATAGATAGATAGATAGATAGATACTAGATAGATAGATAGATAGATAGATAGATAGATAGATAGATAGATAGATAGATAGATAAAAAGATAGGATAGATAGATAGATAGATAGATAGATAGATAGATAGATAGATAGATAGATAGAGATAGATAGATAGATAGATAGATAGATAGATAGATAGATAGATAGATAGATAGATAGAAGATAGATAGATAGATAGATAGATAGATAGATAGATAGATAGATAGATAGATAGATAGTAGAGAGATAGATAGATAGATAGTAGAGAGATAGATAGAGAGATAGTAGAGAGATAGATAGAGAGATAGACATTCAGCAGAATAAAAATTGTGCTTGTACCAGAGAACGCTCTACCTGGGTTGCTATTGCATTTTGGCACTGAAGCACTGATCCCGAGCCTCTGTTTTCACTCAATTAATTTGATATGGAAATTGGGTCACAAACTGACATCGATGAGTAGAAAGTCAACAATTTGCTTCGTCCGCTT